CCTTCCCCTCGGGGGAACTCGGGGCCCCGTCAAGAGATTGGCGGGGAGGGTACACCCTGGAAGGCGCAGCCGGCACGGGGAGAGGGATAAAACAAAATGAACAGTGAACATGACAAACTAAACTCGACGATAACAATAATAGACACGGATAAAGAAACAAACATGGACCTGGACGAGGAGATGACAAACCTGGAAAGGAAGGATACTCTAAATCAGGAGCAGAGTCAGGCGGGATACTCTCCAGGATACGCGCTTCAAGTATACGGTACGGAGATTCCACCGAAAGAGACAAGAACAAAGGAACATAGAGAGGGTTCAAGTCAACCCTCCACTTCCTTTTTCAAGAAGCCAGGCCCGAGGTCATACAAGGGAAGGATGGATCGGATGAGCGTAGACTCGTCGGCCATCGACACGGAAACATACGAGATTAGCTCCTCGGACAGCGAAGTGTCGGATTACGTGAGGACAAGGGGAAGAAGGGTGACAATAGAGGAAGACTCGGACGCTTCTCCCCCTGAGAAAATCAATATTAGTAGTAAGGGTCCACAAAGAACAATAGGCAACAGAAAGAGAGAAAGGATAGCCTCGGACGCTGAATCTGATGGGAAGAGGAGCTACAGGACCACCGGAGACTATGTCGGTAGAAAAGAGGCAATTCTTCGATACAATAAGGCCAAGGATGAGGCCTTACAGTTGGACAGAGAGAAAATCATCCGGGAATACAGTGAGGCAGAACTGTTTAAAAAAGCAAAGGTAAACATGGTAAAAGTAAAGGAACAATTGGGGGAAAACTCAATTGAAGAATTAATATCTAAAGCTAGTGAAAACTGTACGGAAGTTCTAAGAATTGCGAGAACATCAAGCAATCTAAAGGGAACGTTCCAAAAGAGTTTGAAAATAGCAGCAGCCACATCACTGGGGATCGCAGAGATACTAAAGGATAAAGCAACATTATCGAAGGAAGAGGCAAAAGCACAAGAAATAAAATCTCTCAATCGAGAGATTTCCAGGATGAAAGCAAGGATGGATGAAGAGATTGAGAAAGAGAGAAGGAAGGCCATGCAGGCAGTAGGAGAAGCTGAGGCCTACAGGTCCGAGCTACAGACCCTTAAGAAGGAGAGACAGGAGAAAAGAAGAGATATGACTCCTAGTCTTAAGGATAAAGAAAAGGAAAAGGAGTATAACAAAGGGAAGTCAACATCTAGGTCCCCTTCGGAAAACGCGAAGAAATCTAGCTCCAGAAGAACTCCATCTGGAAATATAAAGGCCAGAGAAAATCTGATTACTTCCGAATCAGATCGCATGGAGGTTGATGAAAAATCTCCAAAGACCAAGAAAGTCACTCTAGAAGACCCAAAGATGTGGCCGGAAGTTAAGAGACCTACTCTATGTGGTAAACGAAAGATTATAGAGGAAGACCCGACATCACAAAGGGCAATTTATGAGGCCCATAAAAAATATATATCAGAGTCACACAAAGGAAACGAAGAAAAAAGACAATCACATAAGGAAGGAAAAGAGGAAGGATATAAAAACCGAAAGAACATCGCGAGCATGGATTCTACCGAGTTGGCCATTATGATTAGGGATATAGTGGCAAAAGAACTTGATAGATACAATAGTAAAAAACCGAGAATCACAGGGATTCAAACTTTCAAGGAACCCCTGATTACGGTTAATGAAGCAGGAAAGGTTGTAAGTATCAACAAACAAGAAAGGGAAGAACATAAAAGCAGCAAAAGCACCCCAAGGGAAACGCCGAGGAAAAACGCTGAAAAAGACAGAAAGAAAACTATAACGACGGAAGAGGAAACTGATAGGGAAAGTAAAGCTCATGGAGTAAAGTGATAGGTAGAAAGGAGAAGAAGTCAATAAAGACGAGTATTCTGCCTAACTCCGGAGATAGGAAAACTTCAGGGACGTCTACTCCGTCTAAAAGCACAAAGACAGCACAAACAGAGGCAAGTAGAAATAGAAGACCCCCCAAAACAGCTGCTATACAAATAAGCTGTCGGGGAGATGCTACATACGCGGATGTGATGCGGGTAGCAAAAGAAAAAGTTGACATTGACGCGATGGGCATACACGAAGTAAGACCAAGGAAATCAAGATCCGGTGCGCTACTCCTGGAAATTCCCGGGGCAGAGGGAGGCAGCAAAGCGGATAAGCTAGCAGAGAAGCTTAAAACAGCGCTGGAGGGCCAAGAGGACGTGTTAATTACAAGACCAGAAAAAATGGCAGAAATCAGGATTAAAGACCTGGAAGAATCCACGACGAAGAATGACATCCTACTGACTCTAACTCTATTAGGGAGCTGCCATGAAAGGGTATTCAAAATGGGGGAGATAATCCCATCTTATAATGGAATGGGAACAATATGGATTCGGTGCCCGCTAGCAATAGCCAAAAATATCACGAAGAGCAAGAGAATAAGGATCGGTTGGACAAACGTAAGGGTAGAATTACTACCAGAAAGAATTATGCTGTGCTATAAGTGCCTGGAACCTGGACACATTAAAAAACAGTGCAGCAGCGAAACCGATAGAAGCCTACTTTGCTATAGGTGCGGCCTCCCTGGCCATATTGCGAAAGGATGCACAGAACAGGTATCCTGCCCAGTATGTGCAGCCAAGAATTTAAAAGCAAATCACAGAATGGGCGGGCCAGCCTGCAAACCCCCGGTTACAAAGAGGAAGATTCTTAGAGAAGATAAAACTAGCAAGGATCCTAAACAAGGACAGGTCAAACAACCGGAGAGTATGAGAATGGAAGTGGAAAAAATAGGTGAAATCTCTGGAAAAGAAGAGGGGAAAGAGAGAGAAGCCAGCGTAATTAAACAATTAGAGAAATGTAGTGTTCAGGAAGGAGATAACCCTGAAGATAGAAGGATCACAGAGGAGATGGAAGTGGAGGAAACCAGGCCGGAAAGCTCTATCAGCGACCAGCCTCCCCAAGCAGAGCGGGATTGGCCAGAACTGGGTCAAGAATGGACCGTGCCTGCTCGGGACGATGGGGTAAGAGCAGATAATGGAGAAGGAGGACTCCAATATGCAGACAAATCCAGCAATGCATAACAAAATCATTCAAGCAAACATTAATCACGCTAGGGACGGTCACGAAGTGTTACTCCAAACAATGGCAGAAGGAGATTTCTCAGTAGCGGTAATATCTGAACCCTATAAAATACCGTTGAACCATCCACATTGGACTGGGAACAGAGGTAAATCAGTGGCTATTACATGGAGGCGGACAACTAATCCATTGCCATGTACGCCGCTAAGAAACGGGAAACATCACGCAGCGATAAGATGGGGGATATGATACTTGTTGGTACATACCTTCCACCTAGTCTAGATATAAGAAACTTTGAAGAAGCATTAGAAGAAATGGAGGATGTAATACATCAAGCAGGCAACACCCCAATCTTCGTCTTGGGAGATTTCAATTCAAAATCTACCCTGTGGCAGGCAAAGTCCACAGACGTCAAAGGAAAAATGGTCGTGGAATGGGCGAGCCGGCTGGGCATGTGCTGTCTAAACCAAGGGGGTAGAAGCACATGCATCAGACATACCGGGGAGTCAATTGTAGATCTTTCATTTGCTTCCCCAACAGCGGCTAGAAGAGTATCATCATGGGCAGTATCCGACCGAGAAAGTAAAACGGATCATAGGTATATAGAGATCGAAATCAAGGATACCAAAATGCAGAAAATGAAAAAACGCCTACCACAACCAAAAAGATGGGCGTCCAAAAAAATGAATAAAGATCTGCTAACGGCAGCCATTATAGCCAGTTGCTGGCCCAAGCACAGCATGAATGAAGATGACATCGGAGCGGAGATCGAAGAAACAGCTATAAGATTACAAGGTACCATGACGAATGCCTGTGACATAGCTATGCCAAAGTCTGAACCAAGAGTGCATAAAGCTATGCCTTGGTGGTCAGCGGAATTGGACGAATTGAGGGCGAACCTCTCCATAACTCGTAGAAGGCTACGAAGACTGAGGAGAAGAGTTAATCAAGATGAAGAAGAACTCCAATGGAGACTGAGTGAATTTAGGTTAGCCAGGGACATGTTTGGAAAGGCAATCAGGAAGGCCAAAGCAATAGCTTGGGAGGAGTTTGTCGGCACCCTAAATGAAGATCCTTGGGGCAGGCCTTACAAGGCCGTCATGAATAGACTCCGAAGATGGGCCCCCCCCCCCCC